TGAGCAAGAGTACCGTAGGGTGGTTTGCAGTTGCAGAATCCACAAGGCCATATACTAAGTCAAGACATGAGACACTGGGAGACTTATGATGAGCAGATAAATAATCTAAATCGCAATTGAATTTCATTAGCAGTATCTAATAATGCGCGTTAATTATAATATTAATATACAATTTCGAGAACATGATTCCGCAACCAATAGAAGTTTAAAGAAACAACTCGAGATATGTACCCCCATCAGTACGATGTATACCCCCCACACGAGTACCCCGGGTACTAAAACGAACAAGGGGAATACCCGGGGTACTCGTGTCGGAGAAATACGGTATATGATACTCAGGACAACATATTAATAAGGAAGTGAAAATAGCTTATGCTTGGTGGTAAAACAACAAGGGTTATTGCTATTATTATTACAGTACGTCTTATTACACAACTCATAGCGTTTGTCACATCCGCCGATTGAGATAAAAAATCTTTTAGGGATCCTTCTCAATTTTAGGGTACTTTGACGGGATTTATACACACCACTAATCAGGCATAAGTATATAATGCAACAGTTATAACATTGATTTTTTATGTTCTTTATTGAGTACATATGTATTTGAACACTGAAGTTAAAACATTGATAATTTCTTATATTGATATGAACCTCCCCATCAAGAAACCCCTGTCAAATGATTTAAGGAAGATATGCATTATCGTCAAACATGCATGAATTATTTCTCACATTTGAGTTAGTGCTAATATTTTGTCAATATCAGCAGCTGATATCCTGCCTAATTGAGTATACTCTACTTTCATGAAAACATATCCGGAGTTTGTGGGCTCGTGCGTAAGAATGTATGAAATAGATGAATTATTGGTCATATTAATACCGAGACGTTGAAAATTATCTGTCGGACCGTCGTTCATGGTATCGGAATAAGTGTCACAGACTGTTTGAAAAGGTACTGGGAGCGGACAAGAGCTGTTTGCGTGGGTTTCAGCTTGATCGTGATTCGGTATATTCAACTGTCCATTCATCATGTCAATGTTGCCCGAATGTGTATAATAAGAATCAGATGGATTGCCTTGATATGATGCATAATCGCTCATATAATCTCCGGTATTTCTGTAGTCTATAGTATTCATAGTATTCATTGACATTACATCAGCATTATCGGAGAGAGAAAATGTGACAGGAGGAGGGAAATTTTGAGTATGATATTGGTGAATTGGAGGATTGGCGGTATTAAAATTAAAGTCCCCTGGGTCAGATGATTGACAGACGTTAGTAAAAGGTCTGACATAATCGTTGTTCACATTATTCGGTCCGCTCATCGTATCAACGTTATTCGGAGGAGAGTGCAGGAGAATGTTCAAATTTTTCACCTGCGAGGGTCTGTGGGTATGGGTATTTATTTTCTTTTGTGACAACCTATTGAAAAAGTATCGCAGCCTTATATAAAGCTTCGAGAAAGTCGAGAATAAAAAGTTTTTGGTTGTCAAGCGTATATTTGTGCATGTATTCAGCTGCGGTGAGTGGTACTATTTAGGAGAAAATATGCAGGGAATCGAAATAGGCAATTTGATGATTTATTTTTAAACAACAGAAAGTTAGGCTGTTACACAATTGGACCCCGGCGCTATAATGTATGCTGTCGCTTGCTGTCTGATGTGTTACCCGTACATGAAGAAATGACAGTTGCACCAATAGGTGACAAGTATGAGAACGAAATATCAAGATATCAATGCATTAATACGTAAATATGGTTGCACATCATCATGTGTTTCAGCAATTAGGAATTGTGTTGCGCCAAGATGTTTCGTCAGTGAAAACTGCCCGTTTCCAATTGTCATTAGGTAGTTTGGCCCATATTACCTGTTTTTTGTTGTTGTTGTTGTTTTTTTTTTTTTTTTTTTGAGACTACGTAAGCATGGGAGTGGCAAGAGGAAGGCTATTTTGTAACCACGTTCATTCAATTTACTGGCTAATTCTGCGAGCATTAATATCAGTTATAATTCTTTTACGACCATTTCCAATACAGTCGATCTTTTTATACCGATATTTGTTATAGCAATAAAACCTCGTTATCCGAATCAGTCTTTCTATTAAAAAAGCCTCTGATTATATCGATAAACTGGTTATACCGATAGAAATGGCATTGCCACTCGTATCGGTATAAAGAGGTTTGACTGTATATTTTTTTGGTTAGAATCTTGGTCATAATTGTATTCACGTATTCCCTTTTCCCAATATCGTTTGTCATTGTATTTCGTTGATGGGTTGCGACATTTTACACTTTCGTTTTGAGTAAAGCGCGAAGTAAGTTGAAAATGAGTCTGGAATGATAGTCCAATTAATAATCTTTATTTCGATCGTGTTTATTTTGAAAATTGACCAAGTTACACATATGCAGATTATACAGCTGTCGAAACGACCTAATATTTGTTTTCGAACTTACGACTTAAATTTATTAGCCGCAAAAAAAGGTCAAGCTATTAGATTCATACGTTCTGCAATATTTCACTCGCGCTATTTTGACTCGACTATCTATAAGCACGACTTTTCGACGATTAATACTCGTTCTCAATTCTCTCTTCTATAAAACTCGACACAATTCTTTCAAACAATTTCGAAAAACTCGCTCTCGCTCTATCTTGTTTCACTGGCCCCTCCCCTACCTCTCGTTCTTCAGTGTTACTCTCCAGAGAACTTCAAGACAGCATTCTTCAATACTTAATACTCATACCTTGTCTCTTTTCCATTCTCCTAATCTCCTCTTTTAACACTCTTCGGGTCGTTTCGCCATGGCTTTACTGCAAAAGTTCGCCAATGTTGGATCTTCAATGCTTGTTTTTTCGGCTCTTGAGAGGAGACCGATTTTGGTTCTGTGTCTGAAATAAGGTCCGAAATCGAAGCCCCCTCGCTATAAAAAACTTACACTATGACGCATTAGTTCGCTCATTCGTGATCGGAGAAGCTAGTTGACTCTCAGTCCCTGACGTTACATGTCTTTCTTCCCTCGCCAATGGACGTGATTTTCGTGATAATAATTGTTTTTGAGCTTCGTTCAACTGTTCGGTACGCTCGGCAAGCTGTGCGCAAAGGATGGAGAGTTCTTCATCCAAGTGCTAAACATGGGATTGACGGGTATGGGAAAAGTGATGTGTTTTCTCCACATGAAACCACATTTCACCTGGTTATTGATCTTTTTCTTTGAACTTGGCCAGACTTTGCAAATGGCACAAATGTTAACGTTTCTGAAGATGTCGGTTTACCTTTAATATATGAGAGTGAATATGGGACAATCATAATTTTGCGATCAGCGTATTATCAATGATCAGATCGAATGCAACGAATTATTACTTCTTATATGTTGTCCAACATTCTATACAACTTACCTTCTTCAGCATTTTCGTCATCAATATACTGCCCAAACTCTTTATATATGGCGCATTCTCTTTTAAGCATGCATGTCATGTCATGGGTTACTTTTTGCGCCAGAAATCCAGTTCTGTGAGTACGGAATTATCGTGAAATGAAAGCAATAGAAGAAGGTAAAAGTTTAATTTGTAGACTATATAGAAGAGTGTTTGCTGCAGTGGTACGTCTTTTGTTGAGACAAACTTACTTGACCCTGGAGCGTTGTCTATGAGTCACGTGCACGAAAATCTTTAACAACCCAACGAACCAGTTGTAAGGTTATCAGATAATGATGAGGGCTTATCGGTCACTATCTATAGATTGAGGAACGCTATGGCGGCAGCCAAGTCATATGTCGCAGACAAATATAGTTTAGCGTTGTCGATATTAATATGAATGGATAAAAAAATTGCAATCGACGTTTAAGCTTTAATACTTAGGTCAATCAACAGTCCCCAGAATAATTACATCGAGCACCTTTAGCGTTCAATCGTACGTGCGACTGATAAAGGAACGTAAAGCTCCAGAATAATTACATCCATAAAAGAAAACAATAAATGACTTTACACTGTTAAAAAGTTAATTTAATATAACTACTCATAACAACGCATATTGACGGAAACCTCCTCACAAAAAAAACCTTGTTATTTAATATTGTATTAACATCTACAAGGACAAAAATAATGAATGAACTATCTTTATCACATTCGGGTTGTAGCTAACATTTGGTTAAAGTCAGCAGCCGACATCCTGCCTACAATTGATTGAGTACGCTCTTCTCTCATAACAACGTATTCGTTGCTTGTGGGTATTTGTGTAAAAATATATGAAGTAGTAGAAGATGAATTGTTGATCATACCGAGATGTTGAAAATAATTATCTGTTGTTCGTCGTATCGGGATAAGAGTCGGAGGAGCCACAATATGTTTGAAAAGATCCATCCATTGTGTCGGTATTACCCGGATGGAAAAGAAACTGAGGGATATGGTGCATAATTGGCGGTATAATTTCCGGCATTTTCGTAGTTCATAATATCCATAGCCGTCGTATCGACGTTATGGGGAAGAGGAAAGGATGTAGCAGAAGGACGGAAACCCCGAGTATGAGATTGGAGGGGCAAATAAAGGGGCGTTTGAGTTGGAGGATTGGTGTTGTCAATAAAGTCCTTCGGGTAACATAGTTGGTAGTGGACGTTGCTATAATGTCCGACATAATCGTTGTTCGTATTGTTCGGTTCGTTCATTGTATCGATGTTATTAGGGTGAGGACAAAGGGAAATTGTTTTGACTGAGAGCAAGTTTCTGATTTTAACGATTGACTTTTCGTGTTTGTCCTTATCCGCAAACATAGCTGTTTATATAAATGATGGCTAATAATGTACTATTTTTTTCTACTATATATAGAGTGCTTTCTACAATAATCGATATGATTGGTAGAAAGAAATACCTATTAATATATTGCGATGACAAATCAATAGGGGAACATTTACAAGCTGCAATGAAGAGTGAGCAGAAGAAGTGGAATGTGATATTTCAATGTGATGATATGATATATTATTGGTTTACGTATAATAGTGATGAAAGACGAGAGAGCAAGTTTATTAAATTGTAATAAACAATAATATATAAAAGGCTCATAATATATACAAGTAGCTGGGCTTGCTGTCTTGTTGAACAGTATGGTTCATAAGATACTTCTATTTGGTATCTTGTTGCTTTTTTTCATCATCAGCGTTTTTGTTATTGTTATTGTTATTCTACCCAATATACTCCACTCTTGCCACCTATCCACCTGTATCTTTTTTCTTCTCAAACTCTCGAGCGCAAACAACCACCGTCTATCCACACATTAAACATATTGTAATAGGAATATTTGTCTAGATTGACTGTCGAAAGACAGTATCCAAAATATTGTATAACAATTTTTTTTTATTTACATGTTATAAGTAGTGGCTGTCAATAAACCTTGATAGTAAAAGCACTTTCATTTCGGTATACTCACTAAAGAACGCAACTCCAATCGTTGAAATAATTTATCCGAATTTGTAAACTCTGCGACTTTAACACTTGTCGGAATGCGATTAACAAGTTATCAATGCATTAACATCGTGAATTGTCAACGTCGTTTTTTTTTTTTATGAAGGCGCTACGTTGATATCATTATTCGTTTCAAAGAAAACGAGTCTCTTCGTCGACATGGAATAAATCCTAACGACTATTATTTCTCGATGAATCAATGGTGGTGAGCGGAGATATGGTATTATTTGATACACATTAAACACCCTCCATAATGCAACATTTGCTTAGTACCAAACATGGGACTTTGTCAACAAGTGCCAAGTATTATTCACATGATTCGCGTATTAATATTTTTATCAACGCCTCAATTGTTATGGAGCACATATACATTAAAATTGTGCAAACACAAATCGACATCCTTTTCAGTCTAACTCTCAAAAATGCATCATTTCTATTTAATCCTTGTCTTCGAATGTAACAAACCAAAAATTTGAACAGTGGCTCACCAGCACATCCCCTTATTATTATGTAACGAGTGACAAAATATGATTTAAAATTTTTTCCGTTATCCAATCTTTGATAGTGCTACAAAGAAAGTCGGGTCACTTGGTACTTGATTGTAACACAAAAAGACAATACTATATGATATATACCAACAAATCGTTTAGTTTTGAATGATAAAATTTTAATATTGTCCATAAATGTCTCATCCTAGTAAACGCGAACAAGCAGGGAGCAAAATAAAAATGGATTTTTTCTGAACTCAAGAGCAACGACAAGAATCAATAGAGAATAGTGATGATGGTCAAATGCAAAATTTTGAAGAATAGTGCGATATGGTCTGCAAAGAATTTTAAGAGGTTTGAGTTGGCCTGGAAAGAAGATGCATAAAAAAAAAGAGTTTACTATAATTTTACGTCAAGAACCACTCAATGGCATTAGAAGAAGCAATAATTGCCATATACGTGAGTAGTATCCAAAGTTTCATTGTGAGTGAAAGATACTGGGGATATGCAAAACGGGAAACATAGAAGGAGATACAGTTATAAATGTGATGAATTGGTAAAATTAATTTCAAGAGTATTAAACAGTATTTCCATTACAACAATACGAAATTTTACGAAAAAGTCATGGATGCATATGATAAGGTTTAAAGAAAGGATGGCAGAGTGGGCAGTAAATAAGTGTAAACCACATCGACAATTGCCAGCTAAATTTTTTTTGAGGCAAAATTTTAAATATTGTGTATTCTTTTTTACTTGAAATTTCGCCTCGGTTTGTGGCTCCTTACTTATCGAGAGAATTAATCAATAAAATCAACAAAGCTCACATCAAACAAGTTGCCTTTCACAAGATTTTTCGGAGGGCTTATATATTATTATAAAAAGTACACCAGCTTTAAAACCTTTTAACTCAGTGTAGAGGCATATTTATGACGAACCAGCCAGTGACTTTAAACATAGTTACTGGCAGATTTTCTAAAGAAAAACCGTCTCTACGTTGAGCTGAAAATTTTTAAGGACAGGAGATTTTATTGTTGTCGAGTGTAGTGTTGGTGCACCATATGTAGATAATCCTATATACTGTATATTTTATCAGCAAATAAACAAAGATTGTTTTGGTTCTATAGCCAACACAATAAGAGGGCGCTGCCAGCTTATATAGTCCGTGCAGTTTTTGATATTCTGCATCACATAAAGAAGCTTTTGAATCATCTCGTGGCTATTAAATAAGTGTCAACTATACTAACTTGTTAAAAAATATTGATTCATTTAATAAGAAAGTATGAAAATCTCGGAACGAGATAATAAGTGCGTGTAAAATCAGGTAACACTCAATCAATCCTTACTTAACAATATACGCCATTAAATTTTCTTCGGTCTGGCGATGATAGTATCTGCCTACCATCATTAGCGATATACTCGTTTGCAGCGAGTATGATCAATCGCGTCATAGTCGATTGCACAACATAATGATTGCATTTGGCCAGACAAGATAAGTTCCATAAGTCCGCATCACGTAAGTCGAAGCTGATAAGACAAAAGAGTTAGTCAATTAGTCAGTATTAATTTAATTGCGACCACATATAACAGCTAAAATAAACTCCTTTTATGATATAGAAACTAGTATTATTATTATTATATTAACTTGACAATTTAAATGTAAGACGAGGAATATTCTAAAGTACGCGCTGTTGTGGAATATCTGGTCACCGACACATACTAAACCCATAGTATATAGTGCTATTTCTGACATGAGATATCCATATTTGTCCGACTCACCTTTCAAGAGAGTGTCAATTTAGTTTTTGAGGATAACTAATAATCTGGACAAGCGCAAATCAAAATTTGGCTAACCTAATAAGTTGTTCAATTAGCACATCACTAAGTAACAATTTAGCAAAACTGCGTACCACGCACTTTAATAAACTAGCTAGTCAAACCATGGTCTACAGACATTAAAGCAGTCACTAAGAATGTACAAAGTAATACTGTACTGTACTGTAATGTATAAGGCAATGACACATTAAAATGCATTCAGCATGCCAACAATGTCCTACCGTCACCCTCTAAATAACGCTAATTAACTATATTAAATGCTGTGGCTGAGCGTACATTTTAATAACAACTTAATTAGTAATATGGCTAATACGTTTTCCACTATTACAAACATACAAAGAAGCTGTTAGTATCGGCTTAGCATATTGGCTGTGTAACATGACATATTGTCCAACAATATCAAGCGTTAGCTATTCCAATACGATGAACGACGGTCCCGACAGGTTATTTTCAATATCTCAGTATGATCAACAATACATCAAGAGCCAAACAATGAGATGTTCCTACTGTACTTTCGCAGTCAACAAAAGCATTATCAGACACTTTACATCAAGCAAGTCTCAGCTTCAGCCGGATTTCAGCATCAGCTCCCACAATTATCATTTTTTAATAGGGTTAACTTCATTTCTATTCATTTTGTAGCTTTCAGAAAAAGAACTTCAGAAGGTTGCACATGACTTCAAGGTTATAGATTTTAAAGGCGTTGTTCACCAATTGGCAAGAGAAAGCTTCGCAGAAATTATCAGCAAAAGAACGCTTGCTAAGACTGAGAGAGTCGTAGTATCATCAGTAAGAAAAAACACAAATCGAACTGTCTTGCAACTAGCATCCTGAAATAATATGGATAATTGATGTATTATATGAAGTTTGTACGAATATTGAGCAAGGAATCTGTTGTGCCAACAACTGCGAGGGAGCAGTCAATTGTCAGCACTAGAAGTTTAACTACTTTCAAACGGAGCGTGGTGTCCCCTACTTATAGTTAAATAAACGTATACAGTTAGTGACCTTTAACCAGGCTTTCCTACTTACGATTCACAGTGTCGATGTAGTAGACACTAATCCTCGAAAATTAACTTGTCCTCGAGTATGCCATCTTTGGGTTTAATTTGATAGTCTACCGGTTGGGGTACAAATGTGTTTACAACTATAACAAACGCGTCTAAGTAAGAAACAATTAATTATCGTATTTGCCACTAGAATAATCGCGGGACAAGAGGCGATTATTCTTCGTTGACATAGGATTGGCGGTTCGGTTTCAACGCTACACCAATTAATTCAGAGGATGAGATATCAAACGTATATTTTCAGAGTAATGACTACTCGTTTATTAACAATAATATTATGAAATAAAGGAGCTAGAATTAATATATTTTTAGCAACGTCTATTGTTAATTATTGTGGGGGCTCTGAAACGCTCGTGATCTGAAATTTATCACGTGATCGAGTGTTGGAAATAAATAGATCAAATCAAAGAAGAACCTTCGTGCTTGATTGATGGGACGCTTCCTTCCGGAGAACGTTCACCTAGCATATACAAAGCAAGATCGCGAATAATCTTGCCAGCATTGATTTTCTTGCCATGGAGAGTTCATGCGATTTACACTATCAACACTTAATCAAACCTGGTTTGGTATTTCAGATTCGGGCTGTCTTGATATTCCAACAACGTTTGATGAGATTCATGAAATTTTCAAGTACTGTACCATCATGCTACATGTCCGCACAAGAATAGTTTTTCGTTTATTTGTCGTCAAGATCAAAAATAACCTATTTTACTTTGATTCATCGTAAATAGAACATTCTTCAAGAAAATCTATAAATGTTGCATTGACATTGGTGAAGAAGGTAACTTAAACAGTATTGATAGGCGAAAAGGGACCAAC